GTTTGGCAAAGCGGAAAGACCACTTGGCGTCAGGAAGGCCTGGGTTTGCATCTCGGGTCTGCACGTACTTGGGCAAGCCACTGAACCTCGCTCAGCCCGATTTCCATGCCTGGAAAATCCCTTTCACCCCATGCAGGAAGCAGGCCCGAGAGGAGCCCAGTGTTCTGTCACTGTCAGCAAGCTGCCTCTGAGTCAGGGCTTCGTGCATGGCAAAGCAGCTACCTTGCTGTGAACTATTGAAAAGCCGGTCCTTGACACAAGCAGCCTCCTCTCACCGGCAAAACGGGGCTGATGACGCCAATGTCTGCCTCACAGAGAAGCAAAAGGAACTGCGTGCGCACAAGCGCTTTGGGAGCTGCACAGGGCCTACCCAAGAGATCTGGCATTCTCATTCCGGAGCAAGATAGTGAGTGGAAGGGTGGGCAGGGTGAGGAGAAGGGCTGGCGTGATCTCTAGGAGCAGGACCTGGAGGACAAAGGACAAAGGAGCCCAGGACCTCTGTTGTCCATGAGGGCGGGCACTGTGTTGTTCACTGCTGTATCCACAGAGCCTAGCCTGGTGCTTGGCAAAGTATTGATATATAATCGGTGCTCAATAAATGTGTCGGACTCACACATGAATGAGCAGAGACTAAAATCAGCCCAGTTCTCTACCTCCCCACTTCTACCACCTGATCACAGACCTCTGCTCCCCGCCCCTGAGATCACGGGTTCTTAACCTGAGGTCCGTGGATCCCCTCCAGAATTACAGGCAGAATATAGTGTGTGTGAGAAGAAGGATCTTCCTGAGTAAAGAAATGTTAGATTTCTGCCCAGAAAAGCTTTTAAATAAACCCTGCTCTGAAAGGTAGGCATCTACCAGGCACTCAGTTGGACTCATCCAGCCTCCAGGGCTGCCAGATACCCTGTGGGTTTAAAATCAAAAAACAGCTTCCACCCTTGTCTCTGAGAGGTGCATACAGGGCCCCGCCAGCCTGCAGTTTTTCTTCTGCCCCCTTAAGGTGCCAGGCTGTTAACCTGCCATCTTTCATATGCAAAAGTGATGTCAGGGGGCCTGTCTTCTGAGTGGCTGCTCTCTGGCTGGGTGGGTCTCACAGAGACTTGCACTCACAATCTCTCCCAGTCCCCCCACATGCCATTTAGGTGGGACAGGTGAAAGTCGGGGTCCTGAACCTGGGAATATTAAGCAGGCCTCATAATATCTGAACTCAGAACAGTGCCCTCTTTTTAAAACTATTTTTCCTCACTACAAATAAATATATGTATATACATATATATTTATCTCTATACGTATGTGCCTATTTACTTATTGGAGGAAATTTAGAATCTATAAACAGGGACTTCTCTGGTGGTGCAGTGGTTAAGAATCCGCCTGCCAGTGCAGGGGACATAGGTTCGATCCCTGGTCCGGGAAGATCCCACATGCCGTGGAGCAGCTAAGCCCGTGCGCCCCAACTACTGCACCTGCGCTCTAGAGCCTGTGAGCCACAACTACTGAGCCTGCGCACCACAACTACTGAAGCCCGTGTGCCTAGAGCCCGTGCTTCTCAACAAGAGAAGCCACTGCAATGAGAAGCCCGTGCATGGCAACAAAGAGTAGCCCCGCTCGCCTCAACTAGATAAAGCCTGTGCACAGCAATGAAGACCTAACACAGCCAAAAATAAAAATAAAGAATATGTAAACAATGAAAAAAATCACTCTACTCTCACCCTCCTCCAAAGAACTATTGTTACTACTACCTGTCTTCTGTTCTTCCCATTTACCGTGTATGATGTTCATTAAACACTTCCTGTGTGCCCGGCGTCCAGTGTGCTGCACGCTTTCCAAGCACCACTTGAGTTAGCCTCTCGTCTTTCATCGGGGATTCTCCACCTTTTTATATACTTTCTTAATTTTTAAGGCCAAGGAGAGCAGACTGTTTTGTAACCTTGCCTTTCTCACTCCACACCATCGAAATTTCTTTCCCCATTATTAAATATTTATCTACAGAGTCATTACTAACGGCAGCATGATGACGTTTTATTGCAGGCAGGTTCCAGGCTTCTCAGACTGGGGTGCATGTACCCCTGAGGGTAAAGCCACAGGATAAATGTAGAACATTTTCCTGAAGCATAAATTTGATTCCAAGCTTTGGGAGGAAAAAAGAAAACATTATTTTAAGATCAAAACAAGCACAGATATGCCATAGAATAGAATAAAGAACACCCATGAATTTTCAAACAAGGCAGCAAAATCCAGGATCATGTGACTTGCTGTTTTTCACCAAAGACCCATGTCCCCTCTGCTCTAAGGATGGGAGAAACATCTAAGAAGCACTGTGTTCTCCCTCTTCTTACAGATAAGGAAACTGAGACCCAGGGGGGAGAAAGGATTGCCCAAAGTCCACAGTGTGTGTTACGAGCCAAGCCAGGTGGCCCCTGAGCTGTACCCCTCCTACCTGTCCGTATTTGCCGTCACACATCGACTGCTTTTTCTGAAGGTGTGGGTGGAGAACTTGCCACTCGGGTAATCAACCCTCTGCTTATCAATAGTGGAAACTCTTGGCTTTCTACGTGATCCATCTCTTAGCAGCGGCTGGATCTGAGATATCTGCTCCTGTGGTTAGTAACTATAGCCTCCCTGGGCAAAGGTAGAGGCCCTTAGGCTCTACCAGCACTTAGATTTTTCACGTAATGCACTGTATTGTAAACACTCATCCACGGGTCTGTTTTACCCAGCTGACTTGAGCCTTTTGAAGGCAGGAGTTACGTGTTGTCATTATTATAATCTGATGTTTCTTGAGCAACTACTAGATGCCAGGTGCCAAGTTGGATGTTTCATCTATAGGATCTACCGTCTTCATCGCAGCTTTTCAAAGAATGTATTATTATCCTTGTTTATCACTTACCCATCATCGTTCACTCATTTAGGAAATATTGATTGTAGACTTACGTGCCAGGACTAGCGCTACATGTTGTGGACAGTCAGGATGAGCAAAACCAATACTGCTCTTGCCCTCATGGAACTTACAGAGACTGGGGGAGATTATATTCAACAAATAATTTTGACAGACTGGAGTGAGTGTACTGTAGCTCAGAGCCCGTCCAAGTGCCTCACTTCAAACCCACCTCAACCACTTATTAGCCTCTCTGCACCTCATCTTTCTCTTCTGTAAAATGAGGATAATAGTAGTGCCAACTTCATGGGGTACCATGAAGAGTGAATAGATTAACATGTGCAGAGCACTCAAAGCGGGGCTGTGTGCTCGCCAGGTGTATTGCTGCTGCTGGTCGTATGAAGGAGGGGTGTGGGTTGCTGGGTGTGTGTGGTAGGGGAGCCCCCACCTTAGGAGGCGGCTGATCGAGTTCTACAAGATGATTAGGAGTCAACTTGGCAAAGTGTTTTGGGGACAGTTGAGGGGAGCAGGATGTTGGGGGAATGTTCCTGGCAAAGGGGACAGGATATGCAAAACATGGGGTGTGGGCTCACCCGAGGAACTGCCAAAGAGTGTGGCTGGACCACAGCAGGTAGGGAGCTATACAGGGTCAGGTCTGGGAAGGAGGAGCCTGGGAGAGAAATACAGGTATCCCCAGGATCACCGCATTGTTGATCCAGGCCATGCGAGATGCTCAGCAAATACTTGTCACGTAACCAAGTGAGCATGCAGACAACTATGTTGGCCTCACGTGGTCTTGGCTGTGGGTGTTCCGTTGTCTCCCAACCAGAAGAGGAGTCCATTGTCCCATATATATACACAGTGATATGTGGACCGTCCCATCCCCACCATCGAGCCGTACACGTCCGTCTTGCTGGTGCCTTTCTTCTTGGCAATAGACTGGACGGTGTGGGTTTAAATGGGGAGCTCCAACCTCTGGGGCTCACTGCGGTGGTGCTGCTGGAATCTCCACACTCCACCAGGGCATCAGATCCAAGCCAGTGCTGTTCAGACTTGTTTAGTGGTGGAACCCTGTGTTGAAATCATCTTAGAGGAAACCCAGTATGTGGAACGGTATTGAACAGCTCCCACGGCTGAGGCCCAGGCCCAGGGACCCAGAGCACTTGGTCATAGCTGGTGCACCTGAGAAAACACCAGGGCTCCTTAAAGCACAGTTAGAAAACCAGAGGACTTCCCTGGCTGTCCAGTGGTTAAGACTTCGCCTTCCAATGCAGGGGCCGCGGGTTCGATCCCTAGTCGGGAAGCAAGATCCCACATGCCTTGTGCCCAAAAAACCAAAACGTAAAACAGAAACAATATTGTAAAAAATTCAATAAAGATTTTTAAAATGGTCCACATCAAAAACAACAACTTTAAAAAAGAAAACCAAGGGAGGACCCCCAACCCCCATTTTCGAGGTGTGGAAATTGAGGTCCAGAAAGGAGGGGGTGACTTTCCCAAGGTCACACAACCAGGGATAGACCCAGAACTGGATCTTAGACGTTTGACATCAGTTCTGCTGCACCGAGATTTTCCTCCACACCATCCTGACCACCCCCATCCCCCCTCAGTGTGGGGTCTTGAGGTGGGGAAGGGGCACGGGGCTGTGACCTTGTCAAGTGTCCAGCATCTCCCCCCCGGCACACATACTGAGTCAGGGCGCAGAGCATGAGAGACGAAAACCCAGAGGGCAGGCATGGGTGGGCTGTTCAGGGTCACAGCCTGGTCATGCCATACCTTTTTTTCCCTCTCTCTTTTAATTGAGTTTGAGGTGGTGGTTTTTCGTTTCCTTAAGGAATGGGAAAAGAATGAAGCTGTGTAAACACCACGATGTTAACTCCCTGAAAAACCTCCTGCCATTTTAACTCTGTTACTGGAGAAATCAAAGAGAAATAATTTGTCCACCCACACTTAGCTCTTTCTGACGAAGGTAGGTGAGTATTGCTTTGCTAATCGAGGGTGACTGCTGGAAGCGGAGCCAGGCTGACTGATCCCGGATTGAGAGGAAGCCACGGCAGCCCCAGAAGGAGCGGTCCGCCGGGGTCGGCAGGGCCCGGATCACCGGCCGTGTGTCTGCCTTCCGCAGGTGTCCCCCAGCCGGTAGGGATGCAGGCGCTGGACCAGGCCGAGGGGCCCACGGCCTTGCAGAGAGAGATGCCACTGCCCCCGCCTCCTTCACCGCCTTCAGAGACAGCTCAGAAGCCACCACCTCGAGACGCCAGGAGCCCCTCCCTCGCTGTCAGGAGCAGCCTGTGCCTGCTGGCTGCCTCCCAGTTCCTGGTAAGGACATCACAGGCCTTGTGGGGCCTGGAGGGAGGGCGGGTTGAGGGACGGCCTCCACTTCCTCCCCGAGATGGCCGCCTGGGGACACAGAAGGATGAGGGGCCTTCGTGGCGTGGCGTCCCTCGTGACTCCAGCCCTCGGGCTGGTGTGAGGAGAAGGCTGGAGTTCTGAGCCACAGCCTTGATGGATAAACCCCTCACGCCCTGACCTCAGAAGTAGGAACACAGGCCCACTCCCAACCCCCTGGCCCCGCAGCGGTTCTTCTGAGGACTTCCTGTCTCTGGAGGCATCTCTGGGAGACTCTCCTTGTTATGTGTACCTGGTGGGGTGGGAGGGTCCCCTCTGGGAAGGGCTTTCTCTTGGCTCCCTTGAGTCAGCTCTTCTCCAGGGAGAGGTCCCAGGCCCTTGCCCCAGCTGCGCAGTCTGGGCCTTGGGGGGCCAGGTTGAGGCTGAAGGGGAGCTCTCGAGGGTGGGGAGATGGGAGTATATGGGAGCAAGGAGCCCAGGCTCCGGGCTCAGCGTGCTGCCCCCGGCCGCCCCAGCTCGCCTGCGGGATGCTCTGGCTCAGCGGCTATGGCCCCATCTGGTCGCAAAATGCCACAGACCTCATTTCCTCCGTGCTCACGCTCCTGGAGCAGCTGGGACCCTCGGTGAGTACGCTCCAGGGAGCCCCAGGGTAGGAGGGAATGCTCGGGGACCTCCAGTCCCACCAACCCCTGCCTAGGGCTTCTCTGAGTTCAGGAGATATTTACTGGCCCCTGAAGTGTCTCTCCCTGTCCCCCACCCAGACCGGGTCCAAAGTTTTCAGAGCCTTGATTTTATCCCTGTTGAAACATGAGAACTCTGCCCACCCCCACCCCCCATCACCCTGACCTGTTTGTCTGATGTTCCCCAGGCCTGGCTGGCTGTTGGGACCTGGGACATCCCTAATCTGCTGCTGGTCTCTCTGTCCGTGGTCCTCGTCACCACCTTGGTAAGACTCCTCCTGAACCAGCCTCCGTGCTCCTCTTCCGTGACCCTGAGGCCCGATCCCCACCGTCTCCCATTTGACCTACAGACTAGACCTTCTGGGTAGGGCTGAGGATGGGGTACCCGTCTCCTTCCACCAATACGCCCAGCCTGGGGGGAGAGGTGCCGTCTTTCTCAAAATTGGTTTGCAGCGTTCTTGGCTGGGGAAAGGGGCTGAGGCAGGGAGAAGACTGAAGAAGGAACCCTACCCCCACCCCACGAAGAAGGCTTCAATCCACAAGAACCTGAGGGTTGGAGATGGAGGGGGCTGGGAGGACATGACAGGGGTGGAGCCTCCCATCTAGGTGAGGGATGGTGCAATGCAGACAGCTCCCAGGAGAGTAGGGCTGCTCCAGACACATGGAGGAGCAGGGGGCTCAACTCCATGGGCACCCCCTCACCCAGGGGGGCTGCCAGAATGGTCCTCGGTCCATGATGCCATATGCCCCGAACTAGGTGTGGCACCTCCTGAGAACTCCCGCAGAGCCACCCAGCCCGCTGCCCCCCGAGGACAGGCGCCAGTCGGTGAGCCGTCAGCCCTCTTTCACCTACTCTGAGTGGATGGAGGAGAAGGTCGAGGATGACTTCCTGGACCTGGACCCTGTCCCTGAGACACCTGTGTTTGACTGCGTGATGGACATCAAGCTTGAAGCCGACCCTGCCTCACTGACTGTCAAGGCCATGGGTCTGCAGGAGAGGTGGGTTCAGCGGAGAGGTGGGCTCTGTGGGCCCTGGAGCTCTCAGCTCCCGATCGGAAGGGCAGATGCCTGACTCTGCCTCCCAGTGCCCAGGGAAGAGCTGAGCTCATAAGCCCACCAGTGGAGACACATCCTCTTCAGGTCTGATTCACATAGATCAGGATGCCCCAAGGTGAATGCTAAGAAATGCTGTTACTACACACAAACACATGGGCATACACAAGTGTACATACGTGCACGCTCGCACATACACTTGTGGTTTGGATAGGTTTCTTTACTGCAGGACTTGTCAGGACCTTTAACGTGCTTGTAGTCATTGTAGACTGACTAAGGGGAGTGTGTGGCATTCCTCAAAGCCATCTGACCACAGAACCCTACTTTTTTTTTTTGGTTTGAACTCAATTTTATTTTTATTTTTTATTGGAGTATAGTTGCTTTACAATGTTGTGTTGGTTTCTGCTGTACAGTGAAGTGAATCAGCTATATGTATACATCTATCCCCTCCCTCTTGGACCTCCCTCCCACCCCCACCCCCATCCCACCCATCTTGGTCCTCACAGAGCACTGAGCTGAGCTCCCTGTGCTATACAGGTTCCCACTAGCTCTCTTTTATAGTGTCTCTTAGTGTTCCACAGAGCACACGTTGGGAGGCGTCAGCACTCTCTTTTGGGGGCCTGGCTGGGTAAGCCAGGTCACACCAAGGTTGAGTTGCCCACATGACGTCATGGAAAGAGCACTGGACGAGGACTCGGAAAACCTAGCTTTTTGTTTCAGCTCTGCCACCCCCTCACTGTGTGCTTGGGCCATTCTTGTCCCCGCTGTGGTACTCAGATCCCCTTTCCGTGTAACGAGGGCTTTCCCGTTCTGTGCCCTGAACACAGTAGGGTTTGTTGCGTATGCTCATCCTCGCTGCCGCTGTGCTGCCCCTGGGACCCCATCTTTCCCAGGCCTCTCCTGGATTCTGTGTCCTTGCAGACTGCCAGTCCGGGGCTGGTATATAGAAGGTCGAGCCCTGCTTCTCTGCTCCAGGCAGGCACCCTCTCTGTGAGCTTCCTGGGGCCACAGGGCTGGGAACTACCTCCAGCAGTGGCAGAGGAGAGCGCTCAGGGCCCTTGCATTGAACCTTGGGAACCGGGCTGAGGCCACACTCGGCTACTCCACCACAGGCAGCCTAAGCCTCGGGGCTGAGCCGCACGCTCCCTGTGTCAGGGGTGATGTCACACCCACTCCTCTCTCTGGAGCCCACCTGGTTCCCACCCCCATCTCTCCCTCCCTCATCCTCCTGCTCCAAGGCCCCCAGCTGATGGCCGTCCCTGACCCTGATACTCACCCCTCCTTACCCGGTCCTTCCAGGAGGGGCTCCAACGTCTCCCTGACCCTGGACATGTGCACCCCGGGCTGCAATGAGGAGGGGTTCGGCTATCTCATGTCCCCACGCGAGGAGTCGGCCCGCGAGTACCTGCTCAGCGCCTCCCGTGTCCTCCAGGCCGAAGAGCTTCACGAGAAGGCCCTGGACCCCTTCCTGCTTCAGGCAGAATTCTTCGTGAGTCCCCTTGAGCCGGCTCCCCTGCAGGGGGCAGCCCGTTCTGCACATGTTCATCCCCCCAGCAAGGCTTTGGAGCGGGGTACCCCAAATCAGCATCTGATAGATGGACATCATTTCATTCTCACCTCTCCTACTGTCTTGTTTTCTCTCTGGGCCTCAGTTTCTCATCCGGAAAATGGGAGTAAAAATAACAGGGGTATTGCAAGGATTCAAGAGATGCAGAACGTGTGCAAAGCACCCATGGGGTGATTGGTGTTTGTGGCATTCCCAAGTCTTTATCATCCAGGACTGTGCTCTGAAAGCCTGAGAAAGACTTAGAAAGCTTTCTCTTCTTTTTTTCTTCTTTGGCCACGCCGCAAGGCACCAGGTATTGAACCTGGGCCCCAGCAGTGAAAGCACTGACTCCTAACCACTGGACTGCCAGGGAATTCCTGAAAGCCTTCTCTTCTGACTCTCCCGTTTTCCCACCCTCCCGCTGCCCGACATCACCTCACATTGTTCGTCCTCCTTTGAAATCTGTCCAGTTCTGTGATTCAGGCTTAGGGTGGTCCTGATCGCCTCCCCTCTAGACTTAGGCAGCAGCCTCCAGCTGCCTCCTGTTGGACTTTGAGGGGCCCATAAATGACACCCCTGTTTTACCTGCCTGAGCACTCAACCAGTTAGGAGCCAACACATGGAAAATCACAAAACCACCTTTATTTTTGCTGATAAAGGCTAGGTTTAACATGAGGATTAGGTATGTAGCAGTAGGGAACTTCCTAATACCAACCACCAGAGTGAACAAACTTTCCACGCACCCCGGGCGGTGCTGGCACCTCACAGGGGAGCCCTATAATTCTTTCTTGGCAGGAGGGCCGGGAAAGAAGGAGGAAGGAAGGGGCTGGGGCCCAAAAGCCCGGTTCCTTGATCAAACACACTCATTGGGTAACTTGCCCACCTCTGTGGGTAGGAACGGGCAAGAGGCCATGAGCATTTGGGGAGAGTCCCTCTTGGGAGAAGCCAGAGGGATGGAGAACCCGTGTGCCTCCCTCACAGCTCCCCTCGCCCTAGGCCACCCTGCTCCCTACCTGGACCCGATGGCTTTCCCCTCTGAGAAGCCCTTCATCACCCTCTGACCCGTTGCTCCAGATTCTCTAGAATGTGGCACAGCCTGCCTTACCTGAGTTCAACGAGCCCCAGACTCCTTTTCCGGACTTATATCCCCATCCCTGCAGGGACTGTCCACTTCAACCTGGGCCCCGCACCATGCCCCCGCCCCGGTGCCTCCCCTGTCATCATCCCCCACCCTGGAGTCCCCTAGGAAGCCTTCCTCGACCACTCAGCCTCAGCTGCCATTCCCACAGCCACACCTCCCCTTGAGGAAAGGGCTTGCATCCCCTTGTCATCTCCGGTTCAGTAGATCATTGTCAGTTTTGCTCAGAGAGTAAGAAAGAGGGGGTGCCCACACATCCACTCCATGGGCGCTTCTGCACATGCTTTTTATTTTGAGTCTCACAACCACCCTAGAAGGTAAGTATTATGATCCTCATCGTACAAAGCACATACTTAGTGTGTCCACAAACAGTGAACACTGTAAACCATGTGAAGTCAGGTGCTAAAGCGTGTGGACAGAGGGAAGGGGCGTGAAGAGAAGGCAGACACTGAGGAGTCATCCCAGAGAACATAGGTCAGGGGGAAGAGGTGAACCTTAAAGGCTGGGAAGGATTTGGGGTGATGAAGAGGGGTGGGACCGGTGCTCCCCACAAGCTGGGTGCCGTGAGCTCAGACCTGGAGGCTAGCTGGATACTGACAAATTAGCCACAGGAAGAGATGGGCACAACTGGAGGGTGGGTCTCTTCAGAGCAGCTGGTGGTGAAGAAAGGCCAGATCGGAAAAGACCTCACATTCCAGGCAGAGAAGTTCCAACTTGGAACTCTTGACATAGAGAGTGATTGGGAGGTGCAAACACAACTCTGGGAGGCCCAGAAGGAGGCTCCTTTCCTGCTGGAGAATCAGGGAAGGCTTCTTGGAGGAGGTGGCTTTATGATGGACAGGAGGACATGAGAAGATGAGGATGGGGTGGATGTTGCTACAGAGTCAGCAGCACTATCCAGGGTCCTGAGGTAGAGACACCCAGGGTAGGAACACGGGTCAGTAAAACCACTCAGTGTGGCTGCAGGACAGGGTGCAGAAGAAGGCAGTGATTTGCCAGGTCACTTTTTCTTCTGTTCTTCTTTGAGTGTCTACTATGTGCCAGGCTGGCCCCCAATAAACAATGGTGATAATAACATTTATTATGCACTCAGCGTGTGCCAGGTCTGTTCTAGATACTTTTTATGTGCACTAACTCATTTAATAGTCAGTGTTTGTTGAATGAATGCATGCACTTAAGTCAACCCACCTCTCCTCACACCCCCACGTCCTCCTCCTGCAGGAAATTCCCATGAACTTTGTGGATCCGAAAGAGTATAACATCCCTGGGCTGGTGCGGAAGAACCGGTACAAAACCATCCTTCCCAGTGAGTACTCACTGCCCCAGGGGGTGGGGGCAGGCTCCCCCTCACCTGGGTGCCACTTCACCCTGAGGAAGGCCTTAACCCCAGAGTGGGCCTCCACAGTCACGAGGAGAGGGGACGGAGGGTGCAGGTACCCAGTGAAGGGAAACACCCCCTTTAGAGGGTAGAGGACTCCTTGTTCCTTCACACAGCACTTTCCAGACTCTTGCCCTGTGGAAGCCCAGAGAGAAAGAGGAACAATAACAGCAGCTCCTAGACAGTTCGTGGTGGCTGAAAAGTCTTATCACATCCTTGGTCTCTTCAGAATGGGCAGATTTTAAAGAGAGGACATTAAGGCTCAGAGAGGATAAGTGGCTCATCGACTGTCACACAGCTAAGACATACAGAACTGAGTTTCAAACCAGGCCTGTGACCCCAGAATTGGGCTCTTTTGTCTACCTTGAGTTCAGTTTGGCCAGATTGTGAGTCCTCTAACAGGCAGAGCCACCCCATAAGGGAATGAGCTGCCTGTCCAGTAGTAAGCTCCCCATCAGTCAGGGTATTCAAGCTAGACTGCATGAGCAGTCCCCTGGAAGGTCTGATAAGGATTTTCCCCCTTTGGAGGCAGTTAGACCAGGCGACCTGATATTCCTCTTTTAGCCCCGGAGTGTCATTTTCAGGTAACTTTCATCAAGCCCCTATCTGCCTGTCACCCCTGCCAAGTTCTGGCCCCTGGCCCCAGGGCTAGCTTAGAGGGTGATATATTGAAAGCAAATCCACAAACCTACTCCACTCAGTTTATGGAGTAACGAGGCTTTAAAAAAGCAGTTTTGCCATTAGCAACTCCAACAACATGTAAGATGTCGTGACTTATTTTTAACTTTTAAAATATCGACTTGTGGTTGCTATGGTTACACAGTGTCTAGGTAGTTCCGGTTAAACAAAGCACCATTTAAGGCCAGGATGCAATATTCAGGGCTGCTCACCTCTTCCCTCCTCTTGCCGCCCTCCACCCACCCAGCCCAACCTGGAGGGAGGGGTTCGGGTACCCCACAATCTAGGGCTTTGCTGGCCACTCAGAATAGCCACTGGGGGAATATGGGAGCCAGGCCATCACTCCATTTGGTCCCCACTGGATTCCTGAGAAGACTCCAGCCTCCAGCCATGCCCTGAGCCTCCAGGTCCCCGAGCCCAACAGAGACCTTCTCTGTGGCCAACAAGAATTGACCCTGTGCCTTCAGAGACCAGGCTAGGGTGTATGGCAAAGCCCCCTCTCAGATCCGGGACACCCAAAGGTTTGCTTTCTCATTCATTCTACACCATGCCCAGGGCCTGAGAATTCAGACATGAATGAGACACAGACTCTGTGCACAGGGAGCTCGCAGTCTAGTGAGAGAGAGATCCATGGACAGTTCCGGTACAGAGTGACCCAGCAGGCAGCACTGAGGACAAGATACAGGGGAGCTGCACCTATATGAATGAATGAATGAATATCCCTCAAATCTAGCTCCCCCTCTCCAACTTCACTGCCAAATTACTTTTTTGGGGTGAGGGCTTCCATGTTGCCCAGTGATTTTGGGGGGTCGGACTTGCATGTTGCACAATTCCAGAGGTGCCATTTACATGGACTGCATTGACATAGTGCCCCCTGGGGTTGTGCAGGGCAGGGCAGCCCTCTGACCCTGACACTTCTTATGTGGATCATTACAGTAATCTAACTAGTCTCCTGAGCCCCCCGTTCTCTCCTTCTGTCCGTCTTCTACCACTGTCACCAAAATGACACAAAACAGAAAACGAATCATGTCATTCTCCTCTTTAAACACTGTCACTGTTACCCCGTAATCCTTGGGTTGAGGTCCAGCCTTATGAGCATCGTTTATTGGACCCTTTGTCAGCTGGTTCCTCTCCAGCCTCATCTCTCCCCAACTCCCACCTGGCCCTGTACACTTAAATTGGACAGAGCAGTGCTCCCTACTCTGCTTTCCACTGATCCTTCAAACCCAACCCAGGTGCCCCCTCTTCCGTCTGAGCCAAGTCAAGCCCCCTCTGTTCCCTCGTCCCCAGTGCTCACAGGCCATACACTGGTCGACCGCCTGCCCAGCAGTAGGGGACAGGGACCGGGCCTGGATGATCTAGGAGCCCCCATGCTCAGGCACAGTGTCAGGCTCAGAGTCCACGCTCGGTAGGGTCAATAGAACCATCACCATTCTCACGGTGGTTCTTTAATATCAAAGGCCCTGGTGTCTAGCCAGGGGGTCTAGTGCCCACTTCTGAGTCCTAATCTGGGCAGGCACCACGAGGAGGAGGGAGGTGGCCCACACAGTGCTGCCTCTCCTCTCCCCCGCTGGTCACCCCAAGCCTCCTTCCATTTACCCTCGCTCTTCCCCATACCTGACGCCCCTCCACTCCCTCCTCCACAGGAGCTGCCCTGTCCCCACCTCCCCCCGCACCATCACCTGCCCAAACCTCAAGCACTGGGGCCAGGGCATGAAAGGGCCAGAGAGGGGAGGCTTTGTGGGTGTCATGTCCCATTTCATCTACTGGGTTTGGGATCCTTCTTTTTTTTTTTTTTTTAATGTCTTTATTGGAGTATAATTGCTTTACAATGGTGTCTTAGTTTCTGCTGTATAACAAAGTCAATCAGCTATACGTATACATATGTCCCCATATCCCCTCCCTCTTGCGTCTCCCTCGCACCCTCCCTATCCCACCCCTCTAGGTGGTCACGAAGCACCGAGCTGATCTCCCTGTGCTATGCGGCTGCTTCCCACTACCTAGCTATTTTACATTTGGTGGTGTATATATGTCCATGCCGCTCTCTCACTTCGTGGGATCCTTCTTTTAACCTGTTAGCTTATAGTGGAACTGGTAATGATGGCAGTAATAACAGCAGATACGTGCCCTATAGTGTTCACCATATGCTGGGCCGAGTTACAGGTCTGAGGACTCATTAACATCTACTCTTGAACGTTTACAAGATGAGTGAGGTTGTGATGGAAGGAATGTCCCTAGTTTACAGAGGAGGCACAGGGGGACTAAGTAAATGGCCTACACTGACACTGCCAGGACTTGAACCAGCCTTACCGGTCAGTGGTGTAGGCTCCTGACCGCTCCTCACATGGCCTTTGAGAGCCCCGTATGGGGCACACTGGCAGGGCCTTTAGTCCAGCCCTCCCTCCACAGAAGAGACCCTGGGGCCCAGAGAAGGGAGAAGACAGCCAATTGGTGACAAAGCCAGACCAGAGCCCCGGGCCCCGGGCCCCGGGCCCCAGGCCCCAGGCCCCAGGCCCCAGCTTCCTGCCCACCCCACAATCTGCCAGCTCAAGCCCAGCTTCTGCAGGCTCACAGAGCAGACTAGTCAATACAGGGAGGCTGTAGCTGGAACAAAACAAACCCAGGAAGAAGAGCAGGACGTTGTGAGAATCTGCTGCTGTGGGATTTGACATGTGAATAGATGGGGGTAGGGAGGAACCCTTGTGCACGTGTGTGCCATCTCATCTCAGACGTGGAAGACTTTACTCCTTTCATAGTAATATTCTCCCTCAGCGTCCTACCCAAATCTTAGCTATAAAGTGCTTTACAGTTTAACATTGCACTTTCCCATCTGTTTTCTTATTTATCTTCCCGACAATCCTAGGAAGTAGGCATCTTTACCCCCATGTTACAGATCAGAAAACTGAGGCTTAGGCCATGTGCTTTACAAGCTTACACGGCACGTTGGGGACGGTGTATACTCGAACTCAGCCCTGCTGTCCAGGATTCATCCTCTAGGGAATTCCTTACTGATTTAGCTTTCTCCTCCCCAGAACATGAGGCACAGTGAGGACAGGGAAGCTTAAGGGACACATGGCAAGGGGCGGCATGGATCCTACAGAGGGAGAGACCTAAGGCCTCTCTCTGTACTGTCCTCTTCAACCTGGGCCTCACCTGCCTGAGTGGGCCACAGGGATGGGTCAGTGTTTTGCTTCTGGGCAAGGGAAGAAGGAACTTCAAGTTCCAGAAGAAATGTGGGTGCCCTGAAATGGGGCAAAGTGGGCTCTGCACCAGGGGGACTGCATATGTTAAATCCCAGCCTCACCTGTCTCCCTCACCCCAGACCCTCACAGCAGAGTGTGTCTGACCTCACCAGACCCTGACGACCCTCTGAGTTCCTACATCAACGCCAACTACATCCGGGTATGTAGCCCCATCCCGATGGCCTCTCCCTGAAAGGGAGGCCCGAGTCAATGGGATCCATCCTCTAGGCTTGTCCCTAAGCCCAGGTGGCTCCTGCCAGCCCCCCGGAAGAGCCTGAGTGTGGGGACTGGGCCCCAGGAGCACGGCCTCTGACCCTGATGGCCTGGCCTTGGCTGGCCGCAGGGTTATGGTGGGGAAGAGAAGGTGTATATCGCCACTCAGGGACCCATCGTCAGCACAGTTGGCGACTTCTGGCGCATGGTGTGGCAGGAGCACACGCCCATCATTGTCATGATCACCAACATCGAGGAGATGAACGAGGTAGGCACCCCTGTACCTTACCAGGTGTCTGCTGCTTTGTGCCCTGAGCTAAGCGTCTTGTTTCTGTATTAGGCCTTACAGCGGTTTTGTGAGGTTGGTATGTTCACCTCACTGTCTGCCAAGGGGAGGAAACGTGAGGCTCAGCGAAGTCAAGTCAGTTGCTTAGAGCCACACAGAGAGTCAGAGGCAGAGCCTGGAGCTGTGGCCTCTCCACCTCCAGGGCTCAGGATCTTAAACACGATGCTCTGCTGCTGCTCAGCCTGCCAGGGCTGATGCTGGCTACTTCTGTACTCATCACGGCCCATTTAATTGAACTCCCATAAAAGTCCTTCAAAACGGGTATTATGTCCATGTTCCAGATAAGGAAACTCAGGCTCAGAAAAGGGAAGTAACTTACAGGTTATGAAGCTGAGATTTGAACTCTCCAACTGCAAGCCTACTGCCCTGTTACCTCTCTTCCCGCTGGCCTGGGAGGGGTATTGAGGAGAGGATGGCTGGGGTGCTGGGAGTATCACAGCCTTACCTGGGCCCCTGCAGAAGTGCACCGAGTATTGGCCGGAGGAGCAGGTGGTGTGCGACGGCGTGGAGATCACTGTGCGGAAAGTCATCCACACTGAGGACTACCGGCTCCGACTCATTGCTCTCAGGGTGAGGCCTGGGGTTGGACTGGGCTGGGCAGGTGGGGGACTCCACAGCCAACAGGGTCCCAGAGGCCATGATAGCTGAAATTAAGGCGTGTGTCACTCTCAGGATTTACTGATAAGCAGGGACGAGGGAGAGTGTGGTGAATAGACTTGGAGGCCAGAAGAAGGATCAAACCCTCAGTGCATTTCATATCGTTAGGTTCTCTCCATCCACACTGTCATTCATAATGTCTTCCAGCTCTGTTTCAAATGTACCCAGGGCCAGGACTGTCTGGAAAAGGGGGCTTCAGCAGCTTCCAGCACTGTCCTTATAACTGAGCTTTGAGATCCTGCCTAGAAACATCCCTTTACCTGAGCTTCCAGCCTGTAGTATGACACCGTCCACCAGAGGGCAGGCACTCCTTGCTGCATTTGGGCTGCACAGGGAGGTTGTGGTTGCACAGAAAAAGGAAAAAAAAAAAGAAAGAGAGAAGAAGACATACGAAAAATGAACAATTACAGAACAGCCCAAAAGAGTGGGGGGAGGCATCCTCCCACCCTGAGGTTGTGCCTCTTCCAGGCTCAGCATAAGAGGAGATTGTTCCTTTGGAGTCAGGAGAATCAGTGCGTTCTGTTTTAGAGAAATCTTATGACCCATGTTTGGGGAAAGTGGTACCACTGTAATAACCCAAAGTCTGGAAGATGAGCTGGATGCCGGTAAGCTGACACCCTATCCAGAAACAGCCTAGGAGGTCCACTGATGCTGGCAGCCACAGGGTCTGGATAGGATGTCAAGGGCCTGAGACTTGTTCCTCTGAGCTGCCCCCTCCCACTGGAGCAGGTGAAAGAGGGGGTGTCAAGGAGAGCTCAGCCCCTGGAGGCCTGGTGCCAATTAAGCATCTCCAAGATACAGGCTTGCTTGCGGGCGGAAAGGGCCAGGAGGTAGAGGGCAGAGGCCATGGTAGCTGCCACAGCCAGATAACACAGGGGTGCAAGGAACCAGCTTCCTTTTTCCCCCCGAAAGATATGCTGGGGCTGTCTCATCTTCTCAGTGCTGCCGGACTGGTTAGGGAAGAATTGGGACAACTTGGGGCTTGGGGGTATTTACTTCTGTCCATAAACCTTTACAAGCACCTGCTCTGAGCCTGGTTCTGGGTTGGGTACTGGGAACACAGAGCTGTCCAAAGCCTGGACTCTCTCCTCAAGGAGCACCTATAAAATGGTAAGTGACATAGAAATAGGTAAGAGCACAGAAGAAGGACCCTTTGTCAGCTAGGGTGCTTAGGGAGGGCTTCCTGGAAATGGTGGTGCTGAATGGGGTTCTGAAGGATGAGTAAGAGTTGGCTAGGGAGCAAAGAAGTGGAGAGAGCATTCCAGGCAGAGAGAAAGTAAAAGTAAGGGCGTGGAAGATAGAATAGCTCTATGTGTGTATACGTGGAGGAGGTGGGGGAAGCAGAGGTTTGATCTGCAAACCATTTGGAGTGCAAGAGAATCAAGTGCAAGTTCACAGGAGCAGGAGTTGGGCCTGGAGGGTAGATACTGAACCATGTGTCTTATTTGCCTGGCTGAAGACTGGGGACGGTGGGTTTGATTCTAAGAGCGATGACAGCCATCAAAGGGTTCTGAGCAGCAGAGCAGCCTGTGCTGTAGACAGACCGTTTTGACCACTGTGGAGCTGAGGCTGTCAGGGAGGAGATGGGAGGGTCTCACACAGTCGAGAGATGATAAAGACCAAAGTGGAGGCGGTGGTGGTGGAGAGGATAGCACGGAGGGGGGAACGTTTGCTGGGGTTGGAGGTGGGCAGGGAAGTATACTGAGGCAAGAGGAAGGGTCCCAGGGCTCTTGGGGGGTGACTGGGCTGTTAAGGGGTGACCAGGAGACAGGAGTGAATTGGAGACGGGACTTTTCGCCTCTCTTGGATGATCTTGGAGTTGCTGGGGCAGAACCCACGTGAAGACCAGTGCTGACGCTGCTGACCAGCCCCTGCTGCCCACCTGGCTTCGGGTCTCTGTCTGGTGCCGCTGGGTGATGTGGTATAGCTGGCAGAGGCCCGAGGCCGCACTCCCTGTGGCCTCCCTCCTGTGTGTTTCCTCCTTCCCTCCATCTCCATCTCTGGGCTGATCTGTGGGCTCAAAGAGTTCACGTGTATCTGGGGTGGGCCTCTGTGTCCTGGACAGAGTGGCACAGAAGAGCGAGGCCTGAAGCATTACTGGTTCACATCCTGGCCTGACCAGAAGACCCCAGACCGGGCCCCCCCACTCCTGCACCTGGTGCAGGAGGTGGAGGAGGCAGCCCAGCAGGAGGGGCCCCGCTGCGCCCCCATCGTCGTCCACTGCAGGTGGGTGCTCCCAGACACCCACGAGGGCAGGGCAGCTTCCCCCAGCCCTCGGCTGCCCTGCCTCTCACCCACCCACGCCCTCGGCCCTCAGCGCAGGGATTGGGAGGACGGGCTGCTTCATCGCCACTAGCATCTGCTGTCGGCAGCTGCGGCGCCAGGGCGTGGTGGACATCCTGAAGACCACGTGCCAGCTCCGGCAGGACAGGTCAGCCCGTGGGCAGGGTCTGAGCACGTGGCGAGCTAGAGCCCGGGGGCAGCAGAGAGAGACTGACGTGTGCATAGGGTGAGGGTTAGGGGGACACACTCCGTGGCGACTGACCGGCAGACAGGAAGTAGGGAGGACAGATGGGTAAAGGAACCGGATCCAGGCAGTTGGTGGCTGGATGAAGAGGGGAGAGAAACAGAGCTGGTGGACAGAGGGGCAGGGGCTGAGTGGCGGGGGACATGTCACCTGTGTCCCTGCTGTCTGTGCCAGAGCTGGGAGGGACAGGAAGGGGCAGGGGGAGTGGCTGGCCAGGGTTGGCTTCTCTAAGCTGCCCAGAGTCCCTGATGTGCCTCAGATGACTGGCACTCTGTGGATCTGGGGGCAGGTCCCTCCATGACCCCGTCCCCACTGTGCGTCTGCCGGGCAGGGGCGGCATGATCCAGACGTGTGAGCAGTACCAGTTCGTGCACCACGTCATGAGCCTCTACGAGAAGCAGCTGTCCCGCCAGTCCCCCGAGTGACCACACTCCTCCCCGAGGTCCTCTGGGTACCACACAGCCTGAGTCTGGGCCCTCATCCCGGCCACACCCAGAGCCCTGCCTCGGGTCCAGCCTGCCCCCTGTCCCTCCCGCTTCCTTCTGCTCAGTCTGCTCCCCAGCCTGGGCCTGGCCCCTGCCTCCCCCAACAACGTAGCTCTTCCTACTGTACATATTGGGGAGTGGGGGAGGGTGGGGGAGGGGTGTGCCAGGCCAGGCCTGGGGCCCCAGGGCCTGACCCATGCTGCGCGACCTGGGGCCTCAGTTTTTAATGATGGTTCCATTGCTACTTGATCCAAAACATTTCCGTGCCGCGCTCCATGTGTCCTGCTGCAGCGTGTTCTGTCTGTCCATCCATCTCTGCTGTCTGTACCGGACACTGTGTCTCCTCAGCCCGGGAGAAGGGTAACGAGCTCCAGCCCCCAAGTGGCCCCGGCAGAGGTGCCTGCCCCCGGCCCCCAGCCCCACTTCTCCCAACAGGCAGATTGCACTTTGCCCCTAGTTACTGGGACCAGGATAAGGACGGGGGGCCTCAGGACCTGGAGGTCAGGCACAGGGAGCTCCTGAGGGGGTGGCAGAAAGATCTCAGCTGGGGGAGAGGTCTCTGGGTGGTGGTGGTGGGAGGAGTATCGCAGCCAGGGTGGCCTCTGGGTGTCAGATGCCCGCAGGAGGCAGTGAGCAACCCGCAAGGCGTCAGGGAGGAAGGGGACAGATGGGGACAGTGAACCTAGAGGACCTGGGCCACGATGGGAGAGGGGGAGCTCCGAGGGTGGGGTGGGGACTCGGCCCCAGATGTGTGTGAAACATTTTTCGGTGTCACTGTGGGAAATCCCTCCCAGAAGTCTCACCGCGTGTAGCTCTGCGTGTGTCCCATGTCCATGCGTGTGTTGAGAGCCCGTCAGCAGGGCATGCATGACTCTTTGGCAACATGTGTTATCTTGGAGCCACGTGTTTTTATTGCTGACTTTAAGTACTTATTCCACGGCAGACAGAGACATTTGGTGTCTTTTTATAATTTGCTCATGGTCATTGAATAGAGCAATAAATGGAGCATTTTGAGCAAAACTGGGTCTGTGTGATTGCCTCTCCCCTCCACTCCCTGTATCTCCGTCTTTGTATACACACACACACACACACACACACACACCCTGGCCCTCAAGATCCGTGGGACCCCCTTGTGGATGCTGGGAGTGTGGCTTGAATCCAGATTTGAAAAGCCAAAGTCCATCGAGCAGGATCCTCACATACCCCCACCGTCTCACCCAGCCAGGAGCCAGGGGCCATGGGGAGCCACAGGGACAGGTGTTGGAGGTTTCCAGAGAAGGAAAAGTGTCTGGCAGGCCACCAGCTTCGACAGATGGGCCAGAGAGGCCAAGGCTGGAGCAGGGAGACCTTCAGCTCACTCAGGCCCCTCCCTGTTGGCCAGCCCACTTATCCCTTGTTAGCCCCGCAGGTCCCAAGAGCAGCTGCAAGCCAGCAATTTCCCCTGTAAGGCCTGGGCTGAGAGGAAGCCCCACCCAAGGAGCCTGGGGAATCTGCCCCTAGGCAAAGACGCTGTGCCTCCTAGACATTCCTGCTCTGTTCTTATCCCAGCCCCCAGGGATGCAGCAAAAGTATTTGTCATGCCCTTGATGACAGGTGTGGGTCAACCCAGGGCAGGAGGGAGTCCAGGGCAGGGCTGCTAACCAGCAGGTCCTTACAAGGTAGCCTTGAGTGGGCTGGTTGAGGGTATATTACAGACAATGAGGAAAGAACAGGGAGTGCTTGGGCAGCTGGGACGGAGGGCCCAGAGTAGGGGGGCCTGCTCTCCAGCCACCCTGCAACAAGAGGGTGGGCTCTCCTACCCTTCTGCCCAGAATAGGGGGGTTGGGCGGTAGAAACGGGAGCGGGGAAAGGAGCTAACAATTCCCCCTCTTCTCCTGGGGTGGCCCTGTGAGGCCACTCGGCCTCTGCAGGCACCACATGTAGAGCACAACATGAACGGTGCCCCCTGGATTTGTGCAAAATGACAGACCTGCCAGACTCTCCCTAACTCAGCCCCTCCTGGTCCCTGGAAAACACAGACCCGTCGCTTTGTTCCCCAAGCCCTGTTGGCCACACACACACACACACACACACACACACACTGCCATTCAGCTCAGAAGGTCCCACCCGGCAGCAGTGAGAACAAAAAGCTCTGCACAAGGGAACAGAAAAAGTACCCCGGGACCACCACCCTCAGCCACCTGCCTGCCCCATGCCCCACATTTCCTCCAGCCCTGGCCTCAGTCCCCCCACCCCCCAAAGCAGTGTGCCAGCTCGCTGGGACAGCTGCAGAGCCTGAGTAAGGCATCGCCCCCAGGGGGCCAGATACTTAAGGAACCAGTGACTCCCGGTGGCCCCATTGCTGCGGCAAAGGAAGAAGTAGACTGGTTAGTCTACAGCCCAGGCACCAGCTGCACCTCCAAAGCTGCGGGTGGACACAGCATTCGAGGGTTACAAGGGATTGGTGACACGAAGGTAAGGCTTGCATCTTCCCTCAGGGAAGGGGCAGAATCTGCTAACTTCTGAGCCCAGAGGGGGACAGCAGGAGCTGGGACAGGGGAGTGGTCTCAGAACCCGGAGGGAGAAGCAGGCCAGGCAGAGAGATATCATGGGATGAGGGGGTTAACTTTAGCCCCAAACGTTCTAATTTGGAAGAAGGCTTTGGGGTCCCCTGGAAGGACACTGGACTGGGAGTCAAGAGGCCAGGATTCTAGTCCGGGTGACCTCGGACAGGTTATTTCTCTGACATCAGTTTCTCATAAACAAAATAGAGGTTTAAAAACCACCACTCTGGTTAAATAAAAGATGGTAAGTATACCCATTCGTTGGAATACTGTGTAGCTGTTAACAAGGATGGGGAAACTTTACGAACTGGGATGGAAAGATCTGAAAGATGTAGAAAGTGAAAAGAGGGCTGAATAGGCTACCTTATGTGTTAAAAAAGGGTAGAGACAAAAACATATTCATATTTGCATATTTGCATGAAGGAGCTCCAGAAGGAGCCCAGAGACCACAAGTGGTTACCTGCTGGGGAGGGCTGGGAGACGGAGGGGCTTGGGAGCCGGAGGGAGCCTCTTCACATAGATGTTTATATTGTTTTAATTTTAACTATATGATTGAATTACCAATTCAAAAAAAAAAGTATAAGAAATAAAACTCAATCTCTGTCTTTACCATGTCGCAGACGAAAGCAGAGCTGTAGCAATGCTTTGTCATCTGTCTTAGCATTCCCCCAATGCCAGGGCTCCCCAGGGCCCAGCAAGAAGATCCGCAGTTTCCTTTCAAGGCCTGCTCCAGTGTGGCTTAGTCAGGAAGTTCCTTCTCAGGTCTGACTTCATTCTCTCCTGATAAAACCTCCAGCAGTGCCCCCCTAGTTCCATGTAGCTATCAGTAGTTATCCTCAACTCCCTCTGGGCCTTACTGGGTGTGCTGGGTAAGTCTAAATCCTACCTCCTCTCCCTCCAAGTACTTGGAATAGTTTGGCACTAGTCAGTGGGGGACAGGCCCATTGGTCCTTGTAGCCAACCAGGGAAAGGGAGACACTAAGGGAAGAGAAGAGAGGCCAGAGAGAAGAGCCTTGCTGCCCAACCTCTCCTCACCTTCTCCTGTGCACAGCCGTTTCCTCCTGTGTCCACCTGTCCCATCCGTTCCCCCACACACACACACTTAAGAACATCTCTGAGTCTCCCTCTTGCTCCCTTCCTTGTCCTTCATGGCCTCATCCTCTCCCTGGTCCTCCCAGGTGAGTGCCCACACCTGCTGTCACCATGACGACCATTCACCACAAGGAGATGCTTCAGGAGCACGTGTCCATGGAGTTCTCCAGTTCCACCACCCACATGCAGACCTTCTCCCAGACAACCAAGATCGTGGGAGGCAAGTAGAATGGGATGGCTGGAGGAGGGGGTCAGTAATCAGGTAGGGGCAGCCTTTCTTCCTCCAGTATTTGCGACTGCTGGGCCCCTCGAGAGCACAAGATACCACCAGCAACCCTTCCCAACCTGTGTTTCTAATCTGTGCTTTGATAAAGCTTAGCCAGCCAGTTGCTCACCCACAGATCCAACCTCCAGAAAAAAAGCTTAGGAAAAATCAGTCACATGAATGTGTGTGAGTGATTGATGAACTCTCAATTGCTTAAGATCAGAGCCATAGGCAAATACCATCTCTGATGGTAGAATTTCAGGCATGGAGGAAGTTAGGGAGGTAGCAACCTTATCTACCTATGAATAATAATGCTGGCCCTGCCTCACTTAAGAAAGAGAAGACCTGGAGCTGCCAGTGGAGAGAAGATGAACACATAAACAACTGACTTGAGCTTCCAGGCACTCAGCCCTTGGGGACCAGACTTGGGGGAGGGCAGATCCAAGGGAAAGCTGAGAAATGGTCTCAGAGCAGAACAGACTGTTTTAGTCATGTCTCTAGAGGAAAGTGATTAAAAGATGGCCAGGGACCAGGATATTGAATTCCTGTCCTCCCAGTCATTGCCCCCTCCTTCAGAGTCCTCTGTGCACAGAGGTGAAGACCAGATAAACACTTTACACCAATTCCTCCTGGCCAGTGAGGCAGAGCTAGTGGAACAGCCGGGACTCAAGACCAGAAGTTGCAAACTCAATTGACTATAGTAGCGATTCTCAGCCCTGACTGCGCACCAGAGTCATCTTAGTGTAGGAGTGGGGGGAGAGGGGAGTGAAAAAAAAACAGCGATATGTGAGTCAGAGGGTTAAATCTGGTGGTTTTTTGTTTTTTGTTTCTTTAAGATCTCTGGGGATTCTGACGTGCAGCCAGTGTTGAAAACCACTGGCCCATAGTGTCCAGGCAGGGAACATAAATGCAGAAAAAAGACTGAGGTGAACTGGACAGGATGTAGTCCATCTAAAGGGACAGTCACTCTTCACCTCCCTCCCACTGACTGTTCTGTTACCATATGGGAATGTGAGTCCAGTGCTGAGGATCCAGAAATCTGCATTTTTATGTGAAATCTCTCAGTTTTTAGACGTAGGGCTATTTTTTGTTTAAACATTGTAAAGGTCAAATAAAAAAACATGTGTAGACCAGGTGCAGCCTTTAGAACTCTGGTCACTATTTAATGCTACTGGGGGACCAGAACTTCCAGAAGAGAAGCCCAAGAGGCCCATAAAATCCCAAAGACAAGTTTCCGTCTAAGAGAGAAAAAAGTAGAACTCAAGGCTTTGACCCAATAAAGATTGACCAGGGGGTGGATGAGGCGTTGGCTCCCCTAGTGGTTGAAATTTGCCATAACACAATGACCCACCGACTCTTTAAGGTCCTTGTTTCTCGGTCAGTGCTGGTCCTGCCCCCCGCTAACCTAAAATGCTCCACCGTCCCCTCAAGAAAAGGTCAGCCCTCCAATTCCAGGCTAAGCTCCGCCTGTGGCCCATTCTGACCTCTCGCCCGCCGCCACAGAGGAAATCGTGACGAGGAAGTCCTCCAGCACCACAGAGTTCTTCAGCTTGGTGACCCGGAGTTCCAACATCCCTGCTGGCGAGAGCATCCCGGAGTTCGTGGATAAGCCTCAGCCGGTCACCGCGCCCGAGGGTGCGTCCCTCCCCGCGTCTCCCCAGGCCCCTGGGTGCTTCCCTTTCCTCCCCAGTGCCCCAGCCGCCACCACCACCACCATTGTCCTCTCAATACACAATCACTGGCTGGGTCGGGCCAAGGGTCCCCGCCCTGCCCAGGGCTGGGAGCAGGTAGAAGGTGCAGCTTGGAGGCTAAGAGGAAAAAAATAGGTCCTGTGCCCACTGCAGGGGATAAAGCCATGTTCCGAGTCCGGGTGCAGGGGAACCCCAAACCCAACATCTCCTGGAAGAGAGAAAGCGGCACCCCCATCAAGGAGTCCGCCAAGATATTCTACGACAGCATTAACAAGGAGCACGTGCTGAAGGTGCGAGGTCCAGTTACCCATAAGGTCGGAGGCGGGGACCCCTGGCATGGGCTGCAGGTCCTGTCGCAAACAAGAGATCCACAATGGAGACCCAAGAACTGGGAGATGGGAAAAGGGGCTGTCATTGCCCTAGAGGAGGGGCAGGATAAGAGAAACCGTGTCAGGAGCTGGGGGGTTGCCAGAGTGAGCAGGGGACCAAAAT